CTGACATTAGTCTCCCTACTCTAAATTTCTTCCCCCTCTTCTGTACTAAGGTAAAGATCTTCTGTCCTATATGACATTTGGAATTCGTAGGCTTTTAGAGGTTGGGCTTTTGGCCCATGTGCCTCATCTTCTCCAGTTTGGCTGCAAGGCCTAAATGCGAGAACCTATTCTGTTCACAGGATATGACAAAATACAAACCCCACAAAAACAGCAGCTGATTCCAACAATGCACACCATTAATTGGAAGGAGGGTAAGCTCTCATGTGCCAAGGTGATGCCAAAGTACCACAGGCAACAAGGCCCAGTTCCAAGGTGACCCGCCCAAGTCCTGCTCCCATTACTCTGGCAGAACTCACTGTTCTTTCTACCTAAAAACAATAGGCATGCTACCTGGCATCCACACCATTCCTCCCAATGACTCCTGTTGCCTTTGGACTAAAGAACAAAACTGGACCATGCCCCAAAGGCTGTACACACAGCACTTTATGTCTGCAAAACTCTTACTGCTTTCTCTTGTGTTCTGCATTCCATCCATGGCCACCTTTCATTTCCCAAAACCATCTTATTTCAAGATTTTCGTGGAACTCTCTCCCTCTCTCCTCCTTGCCCTTCACATTCAATCTCTTTGTCTAGTGAACTGCTTGCTATTCAACCCTTCAGATCTCTATTCATAAAGTCTTCCCGGATCCCCCAAACATCCATCTACTTTGCCTTCAAAGCAGTTATAAAAGTTTGTAATTATACATTTGTGTAACTTTTTTTTTTTTTTGATGGGACTAGGGTTTGAACTCAGGCCTTCCTACTTACAAAGCAGGGGCTCTACCACTTGAGCCATACCTCCAGTCCCATTTGTGCAACATTTTTTCCCCCTGGGAGTACTGGGGTTTGAACTCAGGGTGCAAGATAGTAGGGTTTTGCAAACTTTTTGCCCATGCTGACTTTGAACTGCCATCCTCCTGAGTAGCTAGGATTACAAGTGTGGCCACCAGTGCCCGGCTGCATTTGTGTAACGTTTTGATTAATGCCTGCCTCACCACTAGACTGTCTGCTCCATGCCAACAAGAAACGTATCTGTTTGCTCACCTTTGCATTCCCAGTACCCAGCACAGTGTCAGCACATACTACGCCTTCGATAAACACTTGCTGAAAAAAAGAAGAAAGAATAGCTATTCTCTTAAGCACATAAACGCCTGTGGCATTGAACTGCTTTTTTATGACCTTACTGTATCCTCATTAACAATAAGATATATATGTTTTGTCTTTTTTTTTTTTTTTCCAGCAGCACTGGGGCTTGAACTCAGGGCCTCACGCTTCTAAGGCAGACATTCTACCATTTAAGCCACTCCACTAGTCCTTTTTTGTGTTGGCTATTTTCCACATAGGGTCTCTGGAACTATTTGTCCCAGGCTGACTTCGAACCGCAATCCTCCTGATCTCTGTCTCCTAGGATTATAGGCGTGAGCCACTGACGTTGGGCTGTTTTGTCTATTTCACAGCCAAGGAAAGTAAAGTTCACAGCGGTTTTTACACAATTTGCCCAAGATCATCAGTGGGCCCTGAGTAAACAGAGAGCAGGTACTAAAACCCTTGTTTCCCATCGTCCTATGAGACAATATTTAGAAGCACTTGTGTAGGGAACAAGGCCTGAATTCTCAGTCCAAAGATTTGGCGTTGGAAACACACTATTAGGCGATCCTACACTCGCCAGTGCATAACTAGTGAGCCTCAGTTTCCCCATCTGTAAAATGGGAGCGCTACGTCCTGCGCACGCAGAAAGCGCACAGGGAGTATCCCTAGTACGTGCCCCATTAAGACCTCAGAAAGTCCAGGCTGTGACAAAATCTCCCGTTCTCCAGTCTTCTCCCCTGCGCATCCTCAGCCACGAGTCACTCTGCAAAGGAGGCGTAGAAACTGACCTCTAAGGGTCTGGAGGGTAAGGCATCCTTTCACCTAGCCTCGCTATCCCAAATCCAGAGGGCGTGGGGTGGTGGAGGTCAGAGGTCACGGAACTTAGATCACGTGGTTAACGAAGGGGACGGGCTACAGCGGAGCGGGTTCCTAGGACTGGCGAGTGAGCAGCTTACACGGATCGGGGAGTTCTTGGAGTCCGGAAGGGCCTGCTCACCTGAGGGCTCCGGCGAGGCGAGGGCCGCTACCCAGAGACGGCTGCGACAGCTCCACTAAATGCTCACACTAATTCCCTCTCTCAGCGCACAAGCCCCGCCCTCCACAAATACAGCCAGTCGGCAGCTGCCTTGCAGAGTTCCCGCCCATCGGAAGGCTTCCCGCCACATGATTGGCCGAAGAGAACCTGCAGGAAAGACCTCGGGCGCCAGTAATCACGTGATACTGAAGATTCGCGCTTTTTAAAGCAACAGCTGCTTTGCTAGTTGTACGAGCAGGTGTGTATGATTTGGTCTATGTTTAATAAACATATTCTCAATGGAAATTGGCCTCATTCCCTTAATTTTGTCCCCGCTTGAGCACTTACATTTTTGCGATTACAATAAAGCTTTAGACTTTGGTAACTGTCTTAGCTTTCCTGCTAAACCTACCCCTCCATCACCTGCCACTTCACCTTCTAATAGGATAGATTAGTTCCCAGTAAGTGTTCCTTGGAGACAAGGAATTTCCCACTGGGCAGAATTCCGAACGCCGGGGCTCTGTTCATAAGGTAACTACGTCCCATCCTTCCGGCTCAGGTTCAATGAGGCAAATACAAGCCCTGCCCACTTCCAGACTTCTGGAAATTTTCATGAACGCTGCACTGATAGCGCCCTTTCCCGATAGCTCCCAACTAACCGATTCTTAATTGACCAACAGTGGGCTGAGTAAAGGACGGTATTTATATTCAGCTAAATCTGGGGATACATGGATACTTTTTTTTTTTTAATGCGGTTCTGAGGATGGAACCCGAGGGCCTACCTACATGCGAGGCAAGCGCTCCAGCACTGGGCAACATCCCCAATCCTTGGGAGTTGTTTTTGAACGAGTATCTCACTAGGTAGGTCAGGCTGACCTGGAACTCCTGGTCCACCGGCCTCTACCTCCCAAGTACAGGGATGACAGGAACCACCACGACTGGCAACTTCTGATTCTGCCTTTGTGCAAATTATCTAACCACATCCCCCCTACATACACCCACTCCCATTCAAATTGAGGTCAGAGGAGGGAGGCTGAGGCAGCAGGATCCAGAGTTGTGACCAGCCTCAGCCATGTAAGAAACTGTCTCAAAAAAACAAAATAAAATTTTAAAGAGATAATAATGCCCACCACACAGGGGTGTTGTAGATTAAATGAACATGAACGTGAAACCACCTGGCAGAGTTGACAGTAAATTCCTTTATGCTCACCCAAGATGGGGTAGTTTTCGTTGAGCTATTAACATATATATACTTAAAATTTTTTATTGCAGTACCAGGAACCACACCCAGGACTTGGACATGCTATGCATGCACTCTACCACTGAGCTATACTTGTAAACCTTTTTGATTTTTATTTAATTCTGGAAGGCAGCTTCATGCAGGGAACATGTACGTACACACCTATCCCCTTCCTCTGGGGGGCAGATTGCTGATGCCTGGAGAAGGAAATCCTCTGGGACAGAGCTATGAGTCAGATGGACATCCATGGCCACCACACCAAAGGAGACTGACCCAACTGAGTCTCATATTGACATTTGGAGTGGTTTCAGTGTTTGAACACTATGGTGACCACTTATGCTTCAAAGAGAGGAAGTTTCCCGAAAGGTTGAGTCTGATTATCAGCTTAGCAATGTCTGGGTTGAGGGCTGACTGACTTGCTAAGGCTTATTGGTCTGGACAGCCACTGGCAAGCTTGAAGGCAGAAGATGGAGAGAGAAGACCCAGATCTGCCAAGGGCCTATCAGATACAGTGAAGCTATATCCAGTTACATATATATATATATATATATATCAGGTTTGAACTCAGGGCCTCATGCTTGCTAGGCAGGCACTCTACCACTTGAGCCACTCCACCACCCTGCCCTATATTTGGTCTTCTAATGATTTTGAGGCTTTGCCTCCAACTTCAGTGGAGGCAGGGGCCAGTAAAGGCAGAAGAGCCCCACATAAGCAAAGATGGAAGAAAGGTGGCTACAATTCACTCCCCAGATACCCAACCTGACAAGAACTATGATGGCTTTGGAATCACAGTTGTTTTGGTTTTTTGTTTGTTTTGGGGTTTTGTTTTATTTTTTTGTAGTACTGGGGTTTGAACTCAGGGCTTTGCACTTGCAAAGCAAACACTCTTACAGCTTGACCCACACCTCCAAGTCCATTTTGCGCTGGTTATTGTGGAGATGAGGTCTCGCAAACTATCTGCCCCAGATGGCCTCCAACCTCCATTCTCCTGATCTCAGCCTCCAAAGTACCTAGGATTACAGGTGTGAGCCACTGGTGCCTGGCTCAATTTTTTTTTTTTTTTTTTGTACTGCAGCTTCAACTCAGGGCTTTTACCTTGAGCCACTCTACCAGCACTATTTTTGTGAAGGGTTTTTCAAGATAGGGGCTTGCGAACTATTTTGCCCAGGCTGGCATTGAACCATGATCCTCCTGATCTCCTCCACCTGAGCAGCTAGGATTATAGGCGTGAGCCACCAGCGCCCTAATTTTTTAAAAAGGAGGAAACCACAGGATGATCTTGAGATCCACACACCAGCCTGGATGCCTGGACTACAAAGTTAACATCCTGTCTCAAAAACAAACAAGCCAGACACTGGTGGCTCACACTTGTAATCCTAGCTACTCAGGAGGATCTCAGTTCAAAGCCAGCCTGGGCAAACAGTTTGACTCTATCTCAAAAATATGCAACACAAAAAAGGACTGACTCAGTGGCTCAAGTGGTAGAGCGCCTGCCTACCAAGTGTGAGATCATGAGTTCAAACCATGAGTTCAAAAAAGGGGAGGCCAATGAGCAATTGCCCCAAAGACTTTTTAAGAGTTGTTATTCCTATGCCCCAAAAAAGAAGATAACATTTTCATGAAAACCAAGGACTTTTATAGTTAGAACACATAGTCAAAAGTCTGAGAGCAGCAGCTATGCTGCAAAAAGCTCTAGATGTCTTCTGGGATCAAGGAACCTTCCCTGCCTTTTTAACAGCAGCCAAATTGAGCCTCTGGACAATGTAGTAAGTATGAAAGTCATACTTCCTAAGTCAGGACCGAACAAGAGTGGAGGCATCCATGCTCAGCTCACAAGCCCTGGGAAAACAGGAAAAGCAAATCAGTTTAACCCGGACCTTGAGAGAAGCCACAATAAAACTTCCCATCCCAGAGGCAGGTGTCTTAGACTTTAAAGCAGACAGAATGAGTGTTTCTTACGTCACTGACTTGTATTAAGGCTCATTCACCTCCTCTCCAGGGATAGCCCTGGTACCCATAAATGAGGTACTCACCCAAGTAATCATCCATCAGGGAGCCAATAGCAAACTGTAGGAGGAAAGGTAAAAGTGAAGTGAGTCCAAGGCAAGCAGAAAGCCACCTCTGCTCCTCAAGCTCTAGGCCTTCTGCCACCCATCCCTTTCTCCTCGAAAAAGAACGGAGAACACCAGAACTGTGGCTGGTAAGAAATCAACAGCTCGAAGCTCTGCTTGATCGAGGCAGAGAAGCAAGTAAGAGACTCACAATGTCATTCTTATCCACACGGGTTCCCACAATTTTCAAGCGGATCTCATCTTCTTGCTGAATCACAATGTCCTAGGCAAAGGTGAACAGTATACTCAAGAGATCCCCAGGCCCCTCAGTGTGGCTTATTCCCTCCTCCCTGTCACTGATGTCTTTCTGGCCACTTACCTCATCCATTGTCTTGTAACAGGGTGGGTTGGAATTAGGATCAAACTCCATTTCTGAAGGGATGGACTGAAAGGATAAGTGAAACAGGGTCAGTCCTTTAAATGGCTGTTGCTTCAATAAACGGTCATGAACGGGTATCTCTCTTCTTTGGCCCCACCCAGTACACCTAGACTTACATGTCGGGAGATGAAGCAAGACATAGGACCAATTTCTGTGAAAAGTCCAACCTAGGAGGGAAATGGAGTGATTGTACTTTTTCTTTTATTTCCCCAAAGCCTTTTAGGCAAGTTTCCTGTATTCATCTGATTCCTTATTGTACTGCTCACATTTTATAACCAGTCAAAATTGTAACACTTGTTTTAATTTTTCGCCTTCAATTAAGCAAATAGGACCAAGTGGCTCAAGACAGTAAAGCACCTACTAAGCACAAGGCCCTGAGTTCAACTCCCAGTACACCAAAAAAATAAAAGCAAATATAGTATAACGGTAAAAAGCTTAGACCTGGGAAGCCAGGTACTGATGGCTCACACCTATAATCCTAGCTACTCAGGAGGCAGAGATCAGGAGGATCTTGGTTCAGAGCCAGGATGGGCAAATACTTCTTGAGACCCTATCTCAAAAAAACCCAACACAAACCACAGAGCTGGCCAAGTGGCTCAAGGGTAGAGTCCTTGCCTTGGCATGCTGGTGCTAGTGGCTCACGCCTGTAATCCTAGCTATTCAGGAGGCAGAGATCAGGAGGATCTCAGTTCAAAGATAGCCTGGGCAAACAGTCCGAGAGACCCTATCTTGAAAAAACTCATCACAAAAACAGGCTGCTGGAATGGCTCAAGGCATAGGCCCTGAGTTCAAGCCCCAGTACCTTAAAAAAAAAAAAAATGACCTTGGCCAGTACACTTCTATAAGCTTCAGCTTTTGTAAAAAGTGACAGAAGTACCAACTTTGGTTATACAAGGCTTTGCACATTACCTGATCCACAGTAACTGCTCAGTCACTGCAAGCCTCTACCTTTATAACTATTAACATCGACTCACATGCCCATGTGAGGCATGATTACTATAACGCTTGATGAGTGAAGAAACTGAAGCACAAAAAAGTGACCTGACAGAAGATATAGAATTAGTAAGTGAACTGGGAACTCAAGATCTGAGGAGCCAGGCACCAGTATCTCACACCTGTAATCCAGCTCCTCAGAAAGTAGAGATCAGGAAGATGGAGGCTCAAAGACAGTCCAGGCAAATAGTTCATGAAACCCTATCTCGAAAATACCCAACAGAAAAACAAGGCTGACAAAGTGGCTCAAGTGGTGGAGCACCTGCCTTGCAAGTTCAAACCCCAGTCCCACAAAGAAAAAACAAAGAGAGAGATCTTGGGAGGAGCTGGGTGCCAGTGGCTCTCACCTGTAATCCTAGCTACCTAGGAGGGAGGCTGAGATCTGGAGAATTGAGGTTCCAGTCCAGTGGGGGAAAATAATTCATGAGACTCCTATCTCCAAAATAACCAAAGCAAAATGGACTGGAGGTGTGGCTTGAGCCATAGAGCACCTCCTTTGCAAGCGCAAAGTCCTAAGTTCAAACCCCAACCTCAATCCCACCAAAAAAAAAGATTTGAAGGAACCGCCTCATAGCTTACCCATGAATGGTCTCACCTTGTTGACCTGAGTGACCACAGCATCCACAACTTCCCCTTTAAAGGGCCGGAAAACAATGGCCTTATACTTAACTGGATAAAGGACAAAGCCTCGGCCTGGCTGGATCACACCAGCACCAATATTGTCAATGGTGGTGACAGCAATTACAAAGCCATACCTGTGAGAATGAAAAGACACACTGTATGTGGAAGAGCATCTAAAGCCATCTGCAACAAGAGTCACTGAACTAGGGAAAGGAAAGGAGATGGCACTTCTGCTGGAAGATAGCTTGACCAAGTTAGAGACAAGACACAGAACAGTATCCATAAGACCAAATGCTCCTTTTAATTTGTTTAGCCTCTGAGACAGGTCTCTATATGTAACCCAGGCTGGCCTGGACCTTGAAATCTTCATCAGACTCCCCAGTACTGGTACTGATGGGCTGGAGGTGTGGCTCAGGGTAGAGTGCCTGCTTTGCAATTGTGAGCTCCATAAAGGCTGACTTCTCATCCTATCTGTTCACTCCATCTTCCCAGGGTCCAACACGAGGCCTGGCACACAGCAGGAGCTTTAAAAATGTTTGCAGGTTCAGGCAGTGGTTGCACATGCCTGTAAATCCCAGCACTCAGGAGGCTGAGGCAGGAGAATCTTCAGTTTAACGACAACCTGTGTTACACATAGACCCATCTCAAAACAACAATAAAAGGTTTGCAAGTAAATGAAAGTCCAATATCAGCTGAAGGAAGGAAATCATGTTACCCAACTTTGCCAAGGATGCCAAAGGATCCCAAAGCAGAGCTCCCTGGGGCTCCTGAGAGGGTGAGAAGGCTCCACAGAGCGAGTGTCAAGACTTTACAGCACAAGTGGGAGTTGGATAGGGGTTACAGACATGGGGCACCGTGTGTACCACCTATCAAACAGCCCCGTGGACGCAACACTCACTTCCCCGTGCAGGTTCCCTCCACCTCAGTGAAGAGCTTCTGCTTCACCGTGTTGAGCAAGTTGGGGCCGAAGTAGCGCGGATGCAGCAGAATCTCATGCTCCAGGGAGATCTACGGACAAAATATAATGGAGGGCGGCCAGGCGAAGCGAAGATATGGGGCAAGAAAACTCCCTAACCCGGCGCTCGGCCTCGCAGCTCCTGTCCGCCCAGTCTGCCGCTGACACGCGCCCTACTCACGTGGTAAAACATCTTCCCAGCCGAGATTGGACTGCGGATTCCACACTTGTTGTAGCTGCCGCACCCCCACCCACCGGAAGCGCAAGTACCCGCCCCAACTCCGTTTCCGGTAACTCTCCGTGGATCTGATTGGGCCTCGACGTCGTGGACGGGGATTCGCTAAGCTCCGCCCCTCCAGCCCACCCTCTAGCATTCAAACCACCCGCCTGCATGAACTGCCCGGGATAGAGTTTCAGTAAACAGTTTTGTGCTGCGTTGTGGGTTGGGGGCCTGGCTCAAGTGGTAGAGCGCTTTTCTAGCGAGGTCTTCAGTTCGAACCCTAGTACCGCCAAAAAAGAAAAAATGTTTATTATTAGAAAAAGATGACATAGCCTGCTGTTTAATTTATTTTTGGCAGTACTGGGACTTGAATTTAGGACTTAACACTTGCTAGAGCAAGCGCTGTACCACTTGAGCCACTGCGCCAGTCCTTTTTTGTGTTGGATATTTTGAAATGGAGTCTCAGAAACTATTTGCCTGGACTGGCCTCAACCTAGGTGCCCGCCTAAAGAAGTACTTAATAATATTTGTTAAAACACGCTATGTCGCCAGACATATAACACCAAAAGTGTTGTCAGAGTGGTTCAAGTGGTAGAGCACCTGCCTAGCTAAGCCTAGCCCTAAGTTCAAACCCAATACCACCACAAAAAAAGAAAAAAAACCAAAAAGACTACTTTCAAATAGTAAGTACAGGGCTGGTGGAGTGGCTCAAGTGGTAGAGCACCTGTCTAGCAAAGCCTAACAAGTGTGAGGCCCTGAGATTGAGCCCCGGTAACACTTCACCCCCCCCCCAAAAAAAAAGGATATATTTCAAATAGTAAGTACAGTGACTAACTAATCATACTTAATTGATACAACACCAGGAGACAGCTTTGTTGTTATTGCCATCCTCCAGTGAGGTCTTGGGCTTAGAGGACAGGGACTCAAATTCCATTTGTCCAACTCCAAAGTACTTGCATATTCAGATTCCAGGGCTGGGGGAGTGGCTCAAGCAGTAGAGCATCTGCCTAACAACTGTGAAGCCATAAGTTCAAACCCCAGTACCACAAAAAAAGAAAGAAAAGCCAGATCTTCACCTGAGGCAGGCGGAAAAAAAAAACAAAACTCATTACACCTGTTATCAGATGTACCTGCACCCATGTCTGAGCTTTGTACAATGTTTCTATCTCTCCTTTGCTTTGAGTTACTAATAAACATTCTTGGTCTCTACCTTGATGTGTCCTATAACCTGTTTTTGCAATTCAGTACCCAAAGTCAAGGCAGAGGCTTCCCCCTTTTGGAGACCTCCTTTCGCAGAGTGTTGCCAGTTCTGGTAACACACCCACTCATTACTTCAAGAAATGTTCACTGACCTCCCACTCTGTGACCAAAATATGGAGATAAAACAGTCAAAATCAGGGCCTGGAGAATAACACTCCCTCCCTGGTGAGGAGAACCACATTACTTGCATCATTGCACCCAATGTGCCCCAGTGTGTGTGTGTGTGTGTGTGTGTGTGTGTGTCTGGACACATGTAGACACAATTCTCAGAAGTTTTTCATTGCTCCTGCCTGCTGTATCTCTAAGAACTAGCTGCCCACTGAAATCTATCTTTTATAGATTAACCACACAGTAAAGTTAGCTAGGAATACACAAATCCTCCCTTCCTGAACACTCCCTCATCCAAAATTACAAAGGAAGGTCACATCTGGAAGGATGCTTGCCAGATACTGATCACAACAAAAACCAGACACATTACTTTAATCAACACAGAAACTTTGATCATTTATATCTTCTTTAGAATCACTGAAATGCAACTCTCACTGACCTATGTGAATGAGATAAAATGTACACAGCCCACCTTCCAAGAGAGGCTACTTTTTAAAACATTGGCTGACTGGAATGCCCACCTGAGACTCATGAAACTTCCCTCTAAAAAGTTATACAAAAGATTCTTCCTCAGCACAATGATAAAATGGTTGTTGAAAGGTGTGATGTTAATAAAGCTCATTTTTTTCTCTATCACACAGATTCTGGATTCATTGACTTCTTCCAGTGGCAACAGAACCCACCCTTGCTTGGTATATGTTCATTGTTTGTTTCTTTTTTGGGGGGAGATGGGAATTGGTACTGGAGATTGAATTCAGGATCCAAGAGCTCTACCACTTCAATCATTCCCCCAGCCCTTTTTGCTTGCTTGGTTTTTTTTGGTTTTTTTTTTTGCCCAGGGCAGTCTTGGACCACAATTCTCCTGCCTATGCTTCTTTCATAAATGCCAGATTCTGTGTTAAGCTCTTTGCATATTATCTCCCTCAATTCTCAGAATAACCTAAAGAAGTTAGTATCATTAGTATAACCATCTTACAGATAAGAAAATGGAGGCCCAAAGAGCCTCCAGCTGTAATGGGATATGAACAGCTGACCTACTCCAAAGCTTGTGTTCCTCACTACTATGCATTCTACTGCCTGAGACTCAATTTTGGAAAAAAAAGATAACAGAGCAGCCTGGCACTGGTGGCTCATGCCTCTAATCCTAGCTACTTGGGAGGCTGATGTAAGGAGGATCGTGATTGCTGACCAGCTCAGGAAAATAGTTCACAAGACCCCATCTTCAAAATAACCAGATCAAAATGGACTGGAGCGTGGTCCCAAGTGGTAGAGTGCCTGCTTTGCAAGTATGAAGCCCTGATTTCAAACCCCTCTGTCATCAAAAGAGTAAATAAATAAAATACCAGAAAAATGCCAAAGACAGTTGGTTCTGCCCCTTGAAGTGTGTGCATGGAGCCTGAAAGCTTAGAACAGCAGTTCTGTAAGTGTGGTCTGATTTAAAAAACAAACAAACAACAACAACACAACCCAAAAAACTTTCAGGAGTTTGGTGGGGTCGTTTTCTAGTTACATATTTTCAAGACCAGATTTTCTTTCTGTAGTTCAATCTAAAACAATTTATAGTAACAGCTTGAAACAGATGTGAGAATCCAGCTGTCTTCTACTAAACCTGACATTATATTTGCAAAAATATAAAACAATGCCATTTATTCTCACCACGTATTTCTTGGTTTGGGTAAATACAGTTGTTTTTCACTAAAAAAAAAAAAAAAATGTTGGGCTGGGTGCCAGTGCCTTATGCCTGTAATCCTAGATACTCAGGAGGAAGAGATCAGGAGACTCACAGTAGCCGCGGTAGTTTTTGAGACCCTATGTTGACAAAACCCAATACAAAACACAGCTGGAGCAATGGCTGAAGTGGTAGAGCGCCTGCCTAGCAAGCAAAAATAAAACAAGAACTAAATATAAAAACATACAAAGTGGAAAGTCGTCTTTTTACTCAAAAATATTCATGTATATAAATTAGGGTTACTCTAGTATAAACCTATGTGGAATTATTTTAAACACTGGGTTTTACATTTTCTTTTCTTAGTTAAAAATATGTTGGACATTTAGTTGCATTCATTTCTTTTTTCTATATGAGATACAGTCTCACTGTGAAGCCCAGGTTGGCCTCAAACTCATGATCTTCCTACTCCTGTCCTTCCCTGCCTAGTACTTCTGGACACAGAGGGCAACCTTCTTCATCGTAAACTGACCATAGCCTAAGCTAGGGGCACCATGACAGCACTCGCGCAGCTAGCTGCCAGTTCCCTGACACCACCATTACTGAACCAGGAGATCTTGATGCAGTGGGGCATCCAGAACTTCCTGTGGAAGGGACTTTCAAGAGGCAACTCCACTTCAGAGAGATGTGGCTACGGTTTCAGCAGGACCTGGTCTAGGACCTCGGCCTCTAGGGTATAACACCAGTTTATTGCTTCTCCTTTTCTCCGTCACCCTGCAGGGCCGCGACATGCTTGCGGTTCACTGCCGCACAGCACAGCTTAGTTGCCGACCTCGTGCCTCTCCGGAGGTGGGTCCTCTCCTGCCAGCGGCCTCAGGTAGATGGAGAAGTTCAGCCAATCCGCAGCGCTCTTAGGCAAAAACGCGAACCTAAGAGGTAAAGTTTAGGACAGGAATGTGAGCCAATCCAGCAGCGCGCTGCCTGAGCGATTGCCTCGAGTACCCATTTGGAGACGCCAGTTATAGCGGGGCGGGACCGTGGACAGTGGTCCAATCCGTGACGGGAGAAGGCGAATTTGAACCAATTAAAACTGAAAAGGTGGGAAGGGGCGGAGCTCGCCTGGTGGATGCACGATTGTGGTGAGAGATCAGCTTTCTCTGCTAGTTCTCACCCTGGGAGTCCTTAGCTCTTTGAATACAAAAGCGAGGGGGTCAGGGAGTTCCTGGAGTGGGGCGTGGAGGCATCGCCCGGGAAAGCCTGAGAGCGAGAGCGTCTTAGTTGGTGGAGCCACTGGAAGCTAGCGGGCAGGCATCGAGGAAGCGGAGGCTGGTTGGGGGGCGGTACTTCCGGGGGTGGAGCTTTCTCGAAACGGGGGCGGGACCTGTTGCTAAGGTTAGGCCAAGGGGGCGGAGCTAGTAGAAGATCTTTGGTGTGACCTAGGAGAAAGAAGGATGGTAACTGACGCAGGCGTCTTGGGATGGGTCATGTGTTGCCCGAGGCCTTGGAGTAGCAAATGATAGCTAAGGGCTGAACGTTAAGGTTGCTGGGGAAGTTACCTGCCCTAACCCGCTGTCCTCTCTTCAGGGAACCACTGTTGGGGACCTTTCTTAGGCGCCCTTTCCTTCCTGGGATGCTATGGAGTTCCCAGAACACAGTCAGCAGCTGCTGCAGAGCCTCCGGGAGCAGCGGTCCCAGGGCTTCCTTTGTGACTGCACCGTGATGGTGGGTAGCACCCAGTTCTTGGCCCACCGGGCTGTGCTGGCCTCTTGCAGCCCATTCTTCCAGCTTTTCTACAAGGAACGGGAATTGGACAAGAGGGATCTGGTGTGTATTCACAATGAGATTGTCACTGCCCCAGCCTTTGGGCTACTTCTGGACTTTATGTATGCTGGCCAGCTGGCCCTGAGGGGGGATACCCCTCTAGAGGATGTGCTGGCAGCTGCCAGCTATTTGCACATGAACGACATTGTCAAGGTGTGTAAGCAACGGCTGCAAGCCCGGGCTTTGGCAGAGGCGGATAGTACCAAGAAGGAGGAGGAAACCAACTCACAGCCCCCTAATTTGGAGTTTTTGTCCAGTACTTGCCGTGGCCCCCAGCCTTCCTTGGCATCTGCTGAGACATCAAGCCATTGGGGCAAAGAGGAATGGAAAGGCCCTACCCCTCCTTTAGCTATTACCCGTCCTTCAGATGAGCCACCAATGCCTGGTGGGGCTGACACTACACAACCCAGCATGGAGGTTGACTCACCACATCTGCGGGCACCTCCCCCACCAGTGGCTGATGTGTCTGTCTCTCTCGCCAGCCCTAGTAGCTCCACAGAGACCATTCCAGCAAACTATTTTTCTTCTGGACTTCCAGCAGTTTCAGTGGAGCCCCTGCCTCCTCTTGATGTGGGTCCTGAGAATTTGAGGGTGGTGGAACCAAGGGATACTACAGGAGGAACATTACAGGGCTTCTATCCCCCAACATCAGCTCCAGCCCCAGTCTCAGTCTCAGCCCCAGTTTCATCCCAGGTTCCAGCCCCAGCTGAGGCTGAACTGGTCCAAGTCAAAGTAGAAGCTATTGTGATTTCTGATGAGGAGACTGATGTGTCAGACGAACAGCCTCCAGTCCCTGAGGGACTGTTCTCACCTGGAGGAGCAATGTATGGGGGACAGCCCTCCCAGCCAGAGGCTTTTGAGGAGCCAGGGGCAGCAGGACTAGAGGAAGTGGGGCCAAGCGACCACTTTTTGCCTCCAGACCCTCACCTACCGTACCATTTGCTGCCAGGTCCAGGTCAGTATCATCGAGGACTGGTGACCTCACCCCTCCCTGCACCCCCAGCCCTGCACGAGCCACTTTATCCACCTTCTGAGTATGAAGCAGCTCCAGGAACCTTTGGGGTCTTTACTGAGGATGTTCCCACCTGCAAGACATGTGGAAAGACCTTCTCATGTTCTTACACACTACGGCGACATGCTACGGTTCACACACGTGAGCGACCCTATGAATGCCGCTACTGCCTGCGAAGTTACACACAGTCAGGGGACCTCTACCGCCACATCCGAAAGGCTCACAATGAGGACCTGGCTAAACGCAGCAAACCGGATCCAGAGGCTGGCTCCAATCTAGGAATGCAGCCCCTCCCTGGCTCACCAACAGCAGACAGACAGAGCAGTAGTGGTGGAGGGCCACCCAAAGATTTTATACTTGGCCCCAAAAGTTAACATCTGGGGCAGCAAGAGCTGATGCCAGGCCTGCTCTTACCATACTTAGATGGAACAGAAAGTCAGAGGCATCTCACCCCTGCTGGATGACAGAACTAAGGTTCTGCCTAGGCTTGAAAGTTCCTATCTTTTCCTTTGTCCAGGGAGATAAATTGGACTCTTAGGGGCAGAGATCAGCTAGCTCTCTCCAAGAGCACTGGGATTTTTCCTGAGGTGTAATTACTTCTCACTTTGGAACATAAAGCTAGCAGTGAAAGTATCTCTTTGAACTGGTGTTGGTTGGCTTCTTCCACAAACCTGCATGCCTTCATAGATCTTCTCCAGTTCTTTTACCTGATACCTGTACTTTGGTTAGGTGTGGAGGTCTGATCACTTATGAGGAAAAAAGTGACATAGGCAGAGGGCAATGTAGACTTATGAAAGGTATACAAATTAGGGATTCTTACACAATTATGGCTTATTTTGTGTTTGTTTGTTTCTGTGGCTTATTACTGTACTTGAGCTTTTGTGTTTTGGGCTGTACTGTATTGGATACTTCATATAAATGCTCATTTAATCCTCAACAACTTTATAGGGTATTAGTCCCACCCATATTTTTTTGCACCCTCATTGACAAGGAAACATGAGACTCAAAACTCAAAGTTAACTTTTCAAAGTCACAGAGCTGGTTAAAGGGAAAGCCAGAGCCGGGCGCCGGTGGTTCATGCCTGTAATCCTAGCTACTCAGGAGGCAGAGATCAGGAGGATCGTGGTTCAAAGCCAGCCTGAGCAAATAGTTACCAAGACCCTATCTCAAAACTATCCATTACAAAAAAGGACTGGCTCAAGGTGTAGGTCCTGAGTTCAAACTGTAGTACCACAAAAAGAAAAAAAAAAAAAGGCAAGCCAGGATTTGAACTTGGCTTGTGACTCCAGACATTGTGTAGGCTATACTGGTTTAAAACATTGCTCAAGGAAGTTACCCAAGAACTGGAAGTTGCTTTCTTTTCTTGTCCTTTTGTGTGTGTGGCTTTGTTTCCTTAACTTGTCATCTCTACCTTCCACCTAGAAAGACCTTTGGTTGATTGTTTCAACAATAGATAGTATATTGATGACTTGAATTTTTTTGCTTACATGTCAATTGTGAACTGAGATGAGAAATTGAAAGAAAACTGTAAACCCTGTGATGATAGACTCATGGGGTAAGTTGAGGGCTTGTGAAGGTTTTGGAATGATAACTATTTGGGAGAGCTAAAGCAGGAAACCCTACATGGAGGATTCTCTGGTCCCGAACTGTTACTTCAGAAGTGTAGGGCTGGGAATGGAGCTCAGTAGTAGAGTGCTTGCCTAGCATGCATGAGGCCCTGGGTTTGATGCCTAGTACCAGAAAGTGGAAAAAAAAAAAAAAAAGTGATGACAATAGCCTAGAGAAGTTGAATTGCTCACCTAAGGAAAAAGCAAAGAGTTTGGAGTGTTCATGTGGAATGGGGGAGAAAGAGCTGTAGGAACTAAGAAAAGAGTGCCCATGCTGAGGTGAAGAGTGGAGCTATAGCATGAACTAGCAGGCTCATTGACACACAAAGACCTGAGTGCAAATAAATCAGGAAGTAAAACAGAAAAGGTGAAAATATAAGTAAACTTTTTGAATTTTTTTCTATCTTTTGGGGTATTTATGTCATATTCAGCACTGTGATTTTTCCTACTAGTGACTGCTTTTGAGATACAGAAAGGACACAGCTAAGCAATGAAGATTTGACAAAGGAAACACCTTCATTAGTGCATTATGAGAAGCAAAAGTTGATGCTTAACATTTTTGCTGCTGAAAGAGTGAATTCTAAAGCTGGCTGCAGCGGTACATGTCTATAGTTCCTGCTACTTGGAAGGATAAGGCAGAAGGATCCCTTGAGACCAGATGTTTGGGACCAGCCTGGGTAACAAAGCAAGACCCTATCCCCACCCCCCAAAAATATAGTAAATTCTATACCTTTCAAATTTGGGAGGTGGCATACTGGAGTTTGAACTCAGGCTTTGAACTTGTGAGGCAGTAGCTCTACTGCTTGAGCCACACCTCCACCACACTTCCAGCTGCCACACATACCTTTTTTTTTTTTTTGAGGCAGGATCTATGTAGCTCAGGCTGGCTTCCAACTCACAATCCTCCCTCAGCCTTACAAGTGCTAGGATTATAGGCATGCTTGAGAAGACCTGGCTCATGTTCCTTGTATTGGAATAACCATCTAGTTTGTCTTTCAAATGGTTTCTAGTTTTGTTTATGCAAATGCATTACTGCCTTAATTCCTTGGTGGAACAAGGTAAGATATAAATACAATAAAAGCTTTTCTACATGAATGGAGCCCTTTTTCCAAAGTCTTCCCTACAAGAAAAATCAAAACGTCCATAAGAATCAATTGCCTTCTAGCATGGTGGCTCACACCTGTAATTCTAGCTAGTCAGGAGGCAGAGACAAGGAGGATCATAGTACAAGGCCAGCCCAGGCAAAAAGTTCATGAGACCCCCCCCCCCCCGCCATCTCAACCATGGGCATGATGGCACCTTCCTGTCATCCAAGCTACACAGGAAGCATAAACAGGATGAAAGACCAACCTTGCCTGGGCATAAAAGTGAGACCCTATTCAAAAAATAACTAAAAAGTAAAAAGGCTGGCACATAGTAACATACTCAATTGCCTTCAAGAGTGGATTTTATAGTAATTTCTCAACTTGAAAAAACAGAAAATAAATCTATTGCCTTAGAGCACCAGTTCCCTAAAAGCAAGGCATAATAGATATCTACGTGTATATGTAGTACGTATTTCTCTAGACAGTTTGGTGAACACAGTAACCATTGCATTGGTCACATCACTGCCATGTGCACCAAAGAGGCTCTGGGTTGG